AAGTGGAAAAAGGTTGAGAACCCCTGCTGTAAGGTGCCCCTCTTCACATGTGAGGGAAACCCAGGGATAGAACTTACTAAGCTTTGTTTAAAACTAGTGACTGTGTAATATTCTGTACTGAATAAGGTTATATCTAGAATTTATAGAACATGAATAAGCAGATAAAAAGCACCGTAAACGTCACTTTAAGCTGAACATTAGTGTCCTGAAGAATATCTAGTCTAATATTATGTGCTGTCGTCATGATGAAGAGAAAAGACATCAGTTATTAGAGATGACTAATTAAAGATATCATGTTTATACATGTGTTTATCTATTAAGAAATACTAGTAAACATGTTTACAAATGTAATTTCACAGGAAGGTGTTTACTTAATCCTTCAGCCGCATCATTATCAGGATACGGGATCATTGAAATGCTGTAAAAAGGCTGCATTATATCCACCTACATGCAGACGCTGAGAGAAACCCAATGACCTGTTTCCTTGATGAGACACACTGGACACATCTGCTGTGTGTGTCCGCGTTTGACACTAGAAAAGATTACAGACGACAACGTGACAGAAGCTAACTAGTCACTGCCTTAGCCGATTAACAAGTTAGGCTGTTTTGTTCTTGCCCTGGTAAACATATGCGAGGCCATATGCTGGAGTGTGTGTCCTGACAGAAAAACACACACGACCTCAGCGGACACACATCAGCAATAACAACATCTCTGTTGATAACACTTCACACCGACAAACAAAACATACATTCTTACAGCTTCATTCCNTTTAATAGCTGAGACTGACAGAACTTACAGAAGATTACAGAACTTACAGCCCTTCACTAATGCCAGTCTGTGTATTTGATAAGCTATTTGATCACAGCTATAGTTAACTTAGCAGGNNTGTATATAAATATTTATCCCGCAAAAATGGAAAGCTGAAGGACAGTGAGTGAGTGAATACTTATTTGATTAAATGTACTATTATAAATATGTTAGTATTTAGTCTACAGTCAGTAGATATTATTAGTTTTGTGTTTTATTTATTATTATTAAACTTTTTGTCTGGTCTTACATCTCAAAGGCTTAAAGGTTTAAACAAACAAACTTAAAACACATCTGAATAATAAATAAATTCTTTTAAACCATATATGCGCACCTGTGTGTGTGTGTGTGTGTGTGTGTGTGTGTGAGTTTGTGAGTGTGTGTGTGTGAGTTTGTGAGTGAGTGAGTGTGTGTGTGTGTGTGTGTGTGTGTGTGTGTGTGTGTGTGTGTGTGTGTGTGTGTGTGTGTGTGAGTGAGTGTGTGTGTGTGTGTGAGTGTGTGTGTGTGTGTGTGTGTGTGTGTGTAGCGTGAGTTCATCATGGCGTGTGGTCATGGATTATTCACGTTTCTATGTTAAGAGGCTAAAGTTGACTGACCTTGATGTCTGCTCGAGACGCAGTAGGGAGAATCGCCATATAAAGTCCCACACAGTTGTGTCACGCCAACTACAGACACGATCCATTCAGTGCGTCTGCTGTTATTACCAACTCTAAAGCTGTCTTTCAAATTATGAAATGGGTTTTAAGGTGTGGAAGTGGCAGAACTACAGGTACAGGTTCAGTATAGGGACCTCATTCCAGAACTGCGGGTTATTTTCAAGCGTTTTGCATTCATTAATTGGTTAACGTAACAGAGTTGACGATTACAGGGTTGACGAGTTAACAAGTTAACTAATAGAGCTGATGATAACAGACGCTAACAGAAATGTTGATAACAGATGGTAACAGAGTTGACGGTAACCGATTCTGCGGTAACAGAGTCAACCAGTTGCCAGTAACAGAGTCTGCGGTAATAAAGTCAATGGTAATAGAGTTGACCCATCGATGGTAACAGAGTTGGCATTAACAGACTTGACGATAACAGAGTTGACTATAACTGACGGTAACAGAGTTGAAGTTCACATGGCAACAAAGTTATTGATAACAGAGTTGACAATAACAGACAGTAACAAGAGTTAGCTAATGAAGTTGACTGTTACAGACGCTTACAGAGTTGACAATAACAGGCAATGACAAAGTTGATAATAACAGACGCTAACAGAATTGACGGTAACTTACGGTTAACAGAGTTGTCGATTACAGATGGTAACAGTTGATAGTAACAAAGTTGAAGGTAACAGAGTTGACGATAACAGAAGGCAATAGAGTCTGCAGCAACAGAGTCAACGGTAATAGAGTTGACCCGTCGACGGTAGCAGAGTCGGTGGTAGCAGAGTCGGTGGTAGCAGAGTCTGCATTCACAGAGTTGACGAGAACAGAGTTGATTGTAACTGACGGTAACAGAGTTGATGATAACATATGGCAACAAAGTTGATGATAACAGAGTTAACGGTAACAGAGTTGACAATAACAGAGTTGATGATAAAAGACGGTAACAGAGTTGGAGGTAACAGAGTTGACTGTAACAGACAGTAACAGAGTCGGCTAATGAAGTTGACTGTTACAGACGCTTACAGAGTTGACGATAGCAGATGGTAACATCATTGACGGTAACAGAGTTGACAATAACACACGGTAACAGAGTCAGTGGTAACAGATTCAACTCGTCACCGGTAACAGTCGACGGTAATAGAGTTTACCCGTCGACGGTAACAGAGTCAGCAGTAACAGAGTCGACGATAACAGAGCTGATGATAAAATACGCTAACAGTGTTGACAGTAACTGATGGTAACAAAGTTGACAATAACAAAAGTTAACAGAGAGTTGACGGGAACAGGGATGACAGTAACTGATGGTAACCGTTGACGGTAACAGTGTTGATGGTAACAGAGTTGACGGTAACAGAGTTGACGGTAACAGAGTTGACGGTAACAGAGTTGACGGTAACAGAGTCGACTGTAACTGACGATAACAGAGATGACGAAAACAAAGTTGATGACAACAGACGGCAGTCTGCGGTAACAGAGTCGACCTGTCGGCGGTAACAGAGTTGGAGGGGAACAGAGTCAACATCACAGGAAATGACATCACTGACAGCAAGTCAATGTTTTTTTCCATCAGCACTTTACAGATTGGTCTGCCTTTAATAACTGATGGAACAGAGTTCACCAGAGCGCAGAGACACACACTAAATGTGTTTATTATCACTGAAATACAGATCATACAGAAAATAGATGCTTCATGCAGATGCATATTTAACTTAGTAAAGTAAACACACGTGCAGTATTTAATGATGTGATGATAACTCAAGCTGGATGGATGATTCAGGAGGTGGAGGCAGTCAGAAATAGCTGTAGTTGGAGTCCAACGAGGATTATAACGTGTAAATTCAGAGCGTTCCTCTGGTTTTCCGTCTCATTGCGTGTTCACTCACAGTCTGCGGATTACGTCTTACTTTTGATCTCAGACGCTCGGCTGAAAGACAAGACACTGCTAAGAGATTTATCCTGATTCTGCTTTAAGCCGTGGAGCGGCGCAGGTGCTGCCATATGGGCAGCATAATATAGAGAAACACAAACCCTCAGGACAACAGGAGACGCAGAAGCAGAGCCGCTGGGCTTTGGCTGATGCTCCGGCTCAGAGTCCAGCGCTGCGGGTGAATTATGGGAATAGGCAGTTCATTTGCTCCACGATCAGATCAGATCTTTACTATAAGGTACGTGCCGTTACTGACGTTTTCCAGCGTTCGACAGGCTCTTTCCTACACCGTACATAACAGCTTGTTGACTTGACTTATCTGTTTATCTGTGCATTCACTGACTGAGCACTGTGTTCGTCTGACAGATCACACTGCTTCTGTCTTTTTAAACCTGTTTGTAGTCTATTTTTAATTATTATTCTTATTATTATTTCATGTTTCTTTTATTCTTGTTTATGTGAAGCACTTTGAATTCCCATTGTGTATATGTACCATATGAACAAATAAATAAACAATTAATTTATACAATTAAAAATACATTTTTAATACTTATTACATTTAAAGTAGCACAAACGCCTCACAGCAAGAAGGTCTCTGGTTCGAGTCTCGGCTAGGTCAGTTGGTGTTTCTGTGTGGAGTTTGCATGTTCTCCCCGTGTTGGTGTGGGTTTCCTCTGTGTGCTCTGGTTTCCCCCACAGTCCAAACACATGCGCTATAGGGGAACTGATCAGCTAAATTGTCTTTAGTGTGTGTGAATGAGTGTGAATGGATGTTTCCCAGTAATGGGTTGCAGCTGGAAGGGCATCCGCTGCGTAGAACATATACTGGATAAGTTGGTGGTTCATTCCACTGTGGTGACCCTTGATTAATTAACTGGACTAAGCCGAAAAGAAAATGACTGACTGAATACATTTAAAGGCACGCTTGATTCTGTTTGTCACCAATCTGGCAACCTGCGTCGAGTCTGAGGTGAAGGGGTCGGGTGGAAAATAAAACCCCTTTCCTATATTTTGAATTTGGACTGCAGTACCTAGATCACCCACTAGGTGTCAATCCTACATACTGCAGCTTTAAGTAAATAAATGAACTGTGCATTATTATAAACGGTAAGTTATCAATTTAGGGCGATCTGTTGGATGAAGGTCGCTGGTTTGAGTCTCAGCTGGGTCAGTGTCTGTTTCTGTGTGGAGTTTGCATGTTCTCCCCGTGTTGGCGTGGGTTTCCTCTGGGTGCTCCGGTTTCCCCCACAGTCCAAACACATGCGCTATAGGGGAACTGGGTAGGCTAAATTGTCCATAGTGTATGAGTGAGTGTGAGTGGGTGTTTCCCAGAAATGGGTTGCAGGTGAAAGGGCATACGCTGCATAAAACGTGCTGGAATAGTTGGCGGTTCATTCCGCTGTGGCGATCCCGGATTAATAAAGGGACTAAGCTGAAAAGAAAATGAATGAAGTTGTCAACGTCACAATTCCAAGTTACAATGGGTTTACTCACATTTTTAAAAAGTAAACAACCAAGTAGACAACAGGTAACACACTGCGGTTTACAGTGTTACGGCTATTGAGAGTCGTATAGTGCAAATGTGGTAAAATTATGCACACGACCTCATGTTGTGTCCGTCAAATTTGCCAATAATCAAAACTATTTGTAGTGCTGCAAAAATGCATCGTGATTAGCTGCATCCAAAATAAAAGTTTGTTTTGACATGATTTAAGTGTGTGTGCTGTGCATATTTATCATGTTTATACGAATACACACATGCATGCATATATATGAGAAAATGTTTGTGTATATTTAGATATAAAATATATGTATATAATATAAATTAGGGGCTGGATGGTGGCGCAGTGGGTAGTGCTGTCACCTCACAGCAAGAAGGTCACTGGTTTGAGTCTCGGCTGGGTCAGTTGGTGTTTCTGTGTAGAGTTTGCATGTTCTCCCTGTGTTGGTGTGGGTTTCCTCCGGGTGCTCCAGTTTCCCCCACAGTCCAAACACATGTGCTATAGGGGAACTGATCAACTACACTGGCCATAGTGTATGAGTGTGTATGGGTGTTTCCCAGAGATGGGTTGCAGCTGGAAGGGCATCTTCTGCATTAAACGTGCTGAGTAAGTCGGTGGCTCAATCCACTGTGGCGACCCCAGATTAATAAAGACTAAGCTGGAAAAAAAATAACATGAATAAACATGGGAAGATGATGGACTTGAACAGAAAATCATCCAAATGACTCGAACAGAATCGTTTATTCATTCATTCATTCATTTTCTTTCAGCTTAGTCCTCTTATTCATCAGGGGTCACCACAGCGGAATGAACCGCCAACTATTCTAGCATATGTTTTAGACAGCGTATGCCCTTCCAGCTGCAACCCAGTACTTGGAAACATTCACACACACACTCATACACTATGGACAATTTAGCCTACCCAATTCACCTGTACCGCATGTGTTTGGACTGTGGGGGAAACCGGAGCACCCGGAGAAAACCCACATCAACACAGGGAGAACATGCAAACTCCACACAGAAACACCAACTGACCCAGCCGAGACTCAAACCAGCGACCTTCTTGCTGTGAGGCCAAAGTGCTAACCACTGGCCACCATGCTGCCCCTTATTCATAATTATAAACACGTTATCTTGTCGCACATATCTGAGGGAATCGCCTTTTAGGGGCTTGATTTTGTCAGATGTGACTTGATTGGATGGTTGCGGTTGGCCAGTGACAGGTTGACCCTGCCCTCATGTTCATAAACATTAATCAGAGTGTTCAAAGAGAGAATTTAAAGGGGTAGTTCACCCAAAGCTGATCATTTGCTCATTATTTGCTCTCCCTGAAGCGCCTCCAAACCTTTAAGAGTTTCTTTCTTCTGTTGAACACTAAGGAAAGCTGAAAGCCGTCGACTAACGTAGTAGGAAAGACAAAACGCTACAGAAGTCAATGGTTACCGGTTTCCAGGATTTTCCTTAACATTTTCTTTAGATGAAGGGTGAGTAAATGATGACAGAAGTTTCATTTTTGGGTGAACTATCCCTTTAAGACTAACATATTGATAGTAAAAAAACTAAATAAATTTTATTTTGATGTCATTAAGAGATGAACTAGCTCTCTGCAACTCTCACATGGTCACCCGCTGAAGCTAAGCAGGGCTGCGCCCGGTCAGTACCTGGACGGGAGAGCACATGGGAAAGCTACCCCACGTGGGTTGCTGCCGGAAGTGGTGTTAGTGAGGGCAGTAGGGGGCGCTCAACCTGCGGTCTGTGTGGGTCCTAATGCCCCAGTATAGTGACGGGGACTCTATACTGCTCAGTGAGCGCCGTCTTTCGGATGAGACGTTAAACCGAGGTCCCGACTCTCTGTGGTCGTTAAAAATATCAGGATGTCCTTCAAAAAAAAAAGTAGGGTTTAAACCCCGGCATCCTGGGTTAGGGTCAGGGTTAGGTTAGGGTTAGGCCTCTGTCCATCATGGCCTCCTAACCATCCCCATATTCCAATTGGCTTCATATCAGTCTCCTCTCCACCAATCAGCTGGTGTGTGGTGTGTGGTCTGGAGCAATATGGCTGCCGTCGCGTCATCCAGGTGGATGCTGCACACTGGTGGTGGATGAGGAGATCCCCCCCCATTGTGTATAGCGCCTTGAGTGCTCAGAAAAGCGCTATAGAAACGTAAGGAATTATTATTATTATCAATATTTTAGGTGTTTATCTGCTCTTCTTCTTGTCTTCTTCTCAGGGTGAGTTTGACGCCGCGGCAGAATCTGTCCAGAATTATCCTGAAGGGAATCTTTCAGGGAGTAAAGGTGGTGCGGGGACCCGACTGGGACTGGGGGAACCAGGACGGTGAGACAGACACACACACACACACACACACACACACACACACACACACATATACAAGCAAAAACTATAGAACAGTTTTTGTAACTGTCAATATGGCAAATGAAGCCCCGCCTTCTAGTATTTGAGCCAATCGTAGATCACTATAGACTGATGACTCTCAGGGGAGGGGCTCGGAGCAGACGTGTGTTCAGGACAGTTTCTGCAGCTTCATTATGAGTTCAGCCAACACTTGCTTCACAGACATGAGAGAAATGTCCACAGAAAGCTTAACCAATCAACTACACTGGAAAACAGATGTCCTCTGGTTTTGTAATCTGTATGAAAAGAACGGAAGGTACAGTCTATCCCATCAAACAAACATCACATGATGGAAAATAATCTGCCAATAGGGTAAGCTGAATATTAATCTTACTTCAAACTAAACACTAGATTATTCTGCTTCCTCCATTGACAGATTGTTGTGCTTTTCTTTGGGAAAAACTCACTTCATTATTTCTGAAAACAAGACTATTATTTTACTTGTGTTCTTGATTGAACTATTTTTAGATATTTAGACTGGAAACAAGACAGTGCAGTCATTTCTGCTCCAGAGCCGGAATTAAAGGCTCCTGAATAAACTAATTAAAGTCTTTGGGTTTACCTGGAATGACAGACGAGTTTGTTGAACTCTAGCTTCGAAAGGAAAGTCACTTCACTGTTTGGTTTGTCTTTATTGATGATTCAATATGTGATAATGTGATCACAACCGACAGGATGTACATTATGCTGATTATTACACGACTACTGGACACTGAACTAGTAGACACAACACCCTGATCTGAGCTGTAATTATTAGTTAAACTCGCAGAAACAAATACCTACTTATTACGATTATTATAAACCCAAGCCCTTGTGTTATTATTAATATTATTTTGATTTTTACTTATTTTATTATTATTATTATTATTATTATTATTATTATTATTATTGTTATTACTATTATTATTATTATTATTATTATTATTATTATTATTATTATTATTATTGTTTTAATACTTTTTATTTGCTATTTTTAATTTTTATTATAATTTTTTATTACTATTCTTTTTATTATTTTATTTTTTATTAATATTATAATTTATTATTATTATTATTATTTTAGTTTTTATTATTTTATTATTATTATTACTATTTTATTATTATTATTATTATTATTTTAATTATTTTTATTTGCTATTTTTATTTTTATTATTTTTTATTACTATTCGTATTCTTATTTTATTTTTTATTATTATTGTAATTTATTATCATTACTATTATTATTATTACTATTTTTTGTTTTTTTTATTTTATTATTATTTTTTTATTATTAATATTATTATTACTATTATTTATTATTAGTATTATTATTATTCAGTTGTAAACATGGTTCTAGACAGTTGGGAACAGAAACAGACGATCATTTTTAATGTTTTTTATTACTTTTTTTGAGGTACTGGAATGTGTTTGTGTCATTAGTTCAATTAGTTGTTATCGGTGAATAACATAACTTGAATTGTCGTTACTGACCAATCAGAATCAAGTATTTCAGAGAGGTGTTTTATAAATGAATGTAAGCGTCCTATTAGGCAGATGAGATATATCAGAGAGAGAGCGAGAGAGAGACTTTCAGATGTACTGTGTGTGTGTGTGTGTGTGTGTGTGTGTGTGTGTGTGTGTGTGTCTCTGTGTGTGTGTGTGTGTGTGTGTGTGTGTGTGTGTGTGTGTGTGTGTGTGTGTGTGTGTGTTTTGTTGCTGATGTTGATGTGAAGATGCAGAAGCTGAACTTGTGTTTCCTCTTTAGTGATGAATGAGTCAAAATGTCAGAAGTGTTATTTATAAGCTGAGTCGTGTGTGTGTGTGTGTGTGTGTGTGTGTGTGTGTGTGTGTGTGTGTGTGTGTTTAGCCGTGGTTTCGCAGTGTTTCTAGTGCTGCTCTGCTGTTGTTGAGTCTGTGTTTTTAGCTGGTGGTGTTATTAGATGTGGTTGTGGATGAATCTCACTGAAGCTGCTCAGGTTTCACCTCAGATCTCCACATGCTTTTTGCCAGGCAAATTTACAGATTTTTATGATTTAAGATCATTTTCTATGGCATCTATTCAAACATATTTGTGTAAAGAAACAAATGATAAATTCAAGATTTTTATTGAATTAAATTTGTATCATATTATTTTTTTTATTTGAGTTTATTTATTATATTTTAGAATATTCATTCATTCATTCATTCATTCATTTTCTTTTCGGCTTAGTCCCTTTATTAATCTGGGATTGCCCCAGCAGAATGAACCTTCATATTTTAGAATATTTATAAAAAATATATATTTTTTATTGTTATTATTTATACATTTTTATTTTATTTTATTTTATTTCATTTTATTGTAAATATTCAAAATATACTTTTAGGAAAAAAATCACAATAGTCCCAAAATACACTTAGTTTTCTCAATGGATAATATGATGTTATAAATATTTATTTATTTATTTATTTATTGAGCTAAATCTTGATAAAATTTTATTTATTTATTCATTTAATTTTTTTTTTTTAATTTAAATCTTGATAGGGGATTCTATTTATTTATTTATTTTACTCTTGACTGAATTTTATTTACTTATCTATTTATTTAAAATCTTTATGGGATTTTATTTATTTATTTCAAACTTGATGGAGGATTTTATTTATTTATTTATTTTTTATTTATTTCAATCTAGACAGGGAATTTTAATTATATATATATTTATTTATTTAAATCTTGACGGGATTATATTTATTAATTAATTTATTTATTTATTTATTTAAATAAATCTTGTAAGGGGATTTTATTTATTTATTTATTTAATAAAATCATGACGAGATTTGATATGTTTATCTATTTATATATTTATTTATTTATATGTTTATTTATTTAATTAAATATTGACATAATTTTATTTATTTATTTAATTAATTCTTGACAGGGGATTTTATTTATTTATTTATATATTTATTTATTCATTCATTTTCTTTTTTTATTTAATCATCTGTTCACTGATCTATCTGAATCCTGAGCAGTTTAGTGCGAGTCCAGTGTGTTTGCTTTAGTTTGAGGAGTGTGTTTAGTTGTGATTGTGAGAAGTGTAATGTTGGCCTTGTTCAGGTTAAGTGTGATAATTCTGCTCATTCGAGATGTTGTGATATTGTGGATATTACTCCAGTTTGATTCTAAAGTGACTTTAAATAGTCTAGTTGATTTGATCTGAAATGAGTGTTTGATCTGCTTGATCTGTGTTTGTGTGTTTCCTCATTCAGGTGTTCAGTGTGGATCAGACTGTTGATTATCAGTTTATTCTCTGCACAAGTGTTTAATATGTTAGTTTGAGACAGGATTTTTAGCTGATCAGTCATCAGATGATTTTTACATCCATATTTTTGGCTTGTTAATTGTGTTTTTTTTCTCTCATGTGGATATTATATAAGACTCTCCTGCCCTGTGCCACTTCTGTCCCTCTGTGTGTGTGTGTGTGTGTGTGCGTGTGTGTTTATGATCTCTGTGTCTGTTTATGATCTCTGTGTCTGTGTGTCTGTCTGTCTGTCTGCCTCTGTGTCTGTCTGTCTGTCTGTCTGTCTGTCTGTGTGTGTGTGTCTGTCTGTGTGTCTGTACAGCAGGTGAGGTGTGGGAAAGCATGCAGTGGGCCAAACCACTCTGAAGAAGGGCAGGGGGAATTCAACTGTTTCTAAATGCATTTTAAATGAGAAATGCGTTTTTATTTTTACTTAGACAATTATTTTAGCTATATATACTTATATTTTTCATAATAGAGAGTGTTTTTTTGGGGGAGGGACAAGTCCCCACCCCGTCTCCCCCGTGTGTTTAAGTGCATAGTAGTGTATAACTGGATAGTATGCATGCATAGTGCATAAGTGTATAGTGGAATTGCATAAGTATAGTGCATAAGTGTATAGTAGTGTAAAACTATAGTATATAAGTGTATGCATAGTGTATAAGTACACAGTGCATAAGTGGAAAGTGCATAAGTTCGTAGTGTATAAGTGTAGAATGTATAAACTAATTGTATAGTGCATTAGTGTATGAGTGCAATGCATACTGTATATATGTGCAAAGTGTATATTGTAAAAGAGCCTACTGTATAAGTGCATAACCTCTGTGTGGCGGGAAGGACATGAAGTAACTGTGGGACTTTATCACTGTGCATAATCGTGTTTATTTATGTTTTGGGTCGTAGGTCATGGACAGAGATCTCTCTCCGTATCATCGGCTGTGCTGGGTAACTATTAAAACAGAACAAAGGATACGGATTATTAAAACATGTTTGATGTTTCCGTT